TCCTGAGCTAGACGCGTGATGCTCGAGCGTCTGTCCTGGGAGAGCGCTGCCCGAAACTCCACGAGTCTAGCTGTAGACCTAGATAGACTAAGCGCTGTGCGGGTTGCAGATTGCTCTTTTCCCTGTTCACCACAAAGCCTAGGCGCTGCACGTGTGACAGGACCCAGTGCGTGTGAATGGTGGCCTGCTCCAGAGACGGGGCCAGAATCAGCCAGTCGTCTATATAAGTCAGGATTCTGATCCCTGCGCGTCTGAGTGGTTCCAGCGCCGCCTCCACGCACTTGGAGAAGGTGCGTGGGGCCAGAGCGTAACCAAAGGGGAGGCGACAGTACTCGTAACACTTCCCTCCCACGGTGAAGCGCAGGAAGCGTCTGTGCTCCGGTACTATGGCAACGTGGAAGTAAGCGTCCGTCAGGTCTATGGTTGACATCCAGTCCCCGGGCCTGACGCACTCTAACAGATGTTTTGTGGAAAGCATCCGAAAGGGCCGTTTGGAAATGCACTGGTTCAGAGTGCGCAGATCCAATATAGGGCGCACCCCCCCTGATTTCTTGGGGACCAGGAAATACGGGGAGTACAGGCCTCTGGAGGCGTCCCGAGGGTCCACCAGGACCGCGGCGCCTCTGCGTAACAGGGAGGCGACCTCCATTTGGAGCGCCTCTTCTGTCTCCCGATCTGTAGGGCGCACCGCACGAATGCCCTGGAACGGCGGTGGTCTCCGTGCGAACTGCAGAGCGTAGCCCCTGCGCATCGTTTTCTTTAACCAGGGGTCTGACAGTAGACCGAGCTCTTCCCAGACCCGAAACTGCTCTGTGAGGGGAAGGAGAGGACCCGGAGCACCTGGTGTAATAGCCCCCCACTCTCCCTGCGCTCCCAGCGGAGAGGGGGGGGCATCGAAAGGGCCGAAACACCTCATGAGATGTGCTGTGTGAGGAGGTTGGGACCAGGCCCCCTGACTCACTTATAGACAGCGGTAATCTGCGTTTCACTCCCCGCCCAGAGGATGAAATGACAGCAGCCTGAGCTGAAGGGCAGACGTGTGTGGGAGCGTCCTGCTCTGTATGCGTAACACCACTAACAGAGGGAACCCCGGAGACGGAGGGAAAAACCTGACCTAGGCTTTCATTACCACCCCTGGGGAATGAAGTGCTGGATTTACCCCGGAGACGCTGAGAAAAGGGAGAGAGGCTCGCAAAACCTGGTCCTGACCCAGCAGACACTACACTGGCCGCTGTGGGAAGTGGTATGGAGGGATGCGGCCGCTGTGGACTCAACGTAACCAAAGGTGATAGACCTGTGTGTGATGCAATGCTGCCCTCTACCTGAGATGACAAACCATGCATGGCAAAAAGATGACGCTCAGACCGAGAATACGGTACACCTTGTCGTTTATTGAAAAACTTTTTCCCCCCCCGAACTCCCCGACTGTAGGGAGGGCGGCGGTGGGAGCGTTGGTCACGGAAACCACCGGAGTAAGGCTCTGAACCCCGTGGTCTCTGCGGAGTGTAGCGGCCCGGGCAAGGAGCAGGAGGGGGCGGAGCTGAGCGTCGCCGAGGTGACCGGTCTCTCACTCTCTCTCTGCCGCGATAAGGCTGCTGCTGTTGTTGTTGCTGCTGCTGCTGCTGCTGCTGCTGCTGTGACACACGGCGAGGGAGCAGATGAGGAGCCAGCATGGCGGAGTCTTTGGCAGCAGCGTCCAGTCTCGCGACGAGCCCCTTCATGTCTGGACCGAAGAGGGAATCCATGGAGATAGGGAGGTCCAGGAGCTGCCTCTTCTCCGTCTCCTTGATGTCCGCGAGCCCCAGCCACAGATGGCGAGCACCGACCTGTGCGGACGCCATGGATCGCCCACCGTCAATAGCCAGCGCCTGGATCATACGGAGTATGGCCGCCGTTGTGGTTCTGGCCCGGTCCAGGTCCTCGTCGGTGAGCGCTCGCCCGTGGATAGAGACCTATCGAGGGCCCCGGTGAGAAGAGCCATATTGCTAGCTAACGCAACGACCTGTGCTGCGTTAGCGTAGCATCTATCCAGAACAGCCATGCTCATCCTATCCCGCTCCGAGGGAAGGAGAGGTCTGCTGCCGGGCCACACCGAGGACTGCGGGAGTAGTGCGCGAGCCGGACAGCGTCCTCCACTTCCGGGACCCCTTTGGACCAGGACCAGTCTTGGACCGAGCAATAGGCGCCGTACCCCAGAGCAGGCTTCTTAGCTGCTAGGGGTTTGGCCCAATCACGTGCCGCGTAATGGAAAACCGGATCCATCCGCGGACACAGTGTTGGAGCTCGTCTCTTCCTCCCTGGAAGCGATGAACCCACCGACGTGAAGTCGCTCTCTCTCTGGGTGGGTTGCGGAGGCAGGGGGGTCTCCATGGTGGCCGCTGCCGTGGCGAAGAGGCGGGGCATGTGGTCCAGAGGGAAGCGGTCTTGTTCCTCGCACAAGGAAATAGCCTCGTCGAGAGTGACGTAGGAACCCCGGTCCTCGTCAAACTCTTCCTCCACAACACAGTCTCCCCACTCCCTGGGTGCAGGAGGCAGGTCGAGCGGGACATACTCAACCTCAGGTTCCTCCTCCTGGGAGGGACCCGGGCGAGCCTCCGCGGAGGTGGCATAAGCAGCGCGGCGCTCTCTCTCCTCCCCGGGGAGAGAAAGGCACGCCGCACACGTCGCCGCTTCCCGGTGGTGGTGAACTCCCAGGCAGAGGAAGCAGAACTCGTGCCGGTCTTTGCGGTGGAGCTTGGTCCGGCAGCCACCGCACCGTCTTCGTCCGACGCCGGATGGCGAAGGAGTTCTCGGACGAGGAGGAGTAGACATCGCGATCTTCAATGGTGAGTAGAACTTCTCTCAATGGCGCCAGAGTTCAAAGTGAAGAGCATGGACTGCTGTGGGCTATTTATAGGAGGTTCTGCACAGTGATTGGAGCATTGAGTTCTCTCTGGCGGGAAGCTAGGTGCTTCTGGAGTCATACCCAAAGCGAGCCTAAGGGGCGTAGCACTATGAAGTAGAACATGATATTTATCATGTTATTTCATGAAAGTATCATGAAATAACATGATACCAGCGAAAAAAACAAAAAAAACACTCACAAGTGAACCTAACAAGCTTCCGTACCTTACAAGCATGTTTTAAGGCGTATTTCCTGTTACACTTATGCTCCAAGGGGATTTAGATTAAACTGCATGAAGGAAAATGTATTTCTTTGTCAGTTGTAGTTTGTTTTTAAATAGAAAAAAAAAAATCAATAAAAATAAAAAAAAGGATTTGGTGTGAAAAAAATCTGAGATTTTTTTTATATTGCCCAGCCTTACTACAGTAGAACCTTTTCAGCTGAGTAACTTCAAGGTTAATCATCTTCATTTTATTTGAGCAATAGCTAAACAAAGTTGTCCTTTTTGAGTAATTTCTCTAACTATAAAATAATAGTATATCATCCAATATATCCTCAGTGTAGAACAAATAAAGGTTATCTAGGTACTTTACTGGAATACATTTTGGCTCAACTTATTTGTCCTAATAATGTATTAACATGCATACTTCTGAAAAAATCTATTTTTTTTTAAACCCAAAGAGGCCTCACACGACATTATTCATTCATTCAAAACGCTGTGGTTGTAAACTACTACTGTAGCCACAGCTGCCATGGATTTTGGCACACATAGTTTGAATTAATCTCCCAGACTCATTATTATTATTCCAAGTCATCATTGATGCTGTTTCTTATTATTATTGCTGCTACTCAACACCTGAATTTCTCCTACGGGGATCAATAAAGTATCTATCTATTCATCTCTATCTATGTAATTATTGCCTTTCTTGGGTTAGATCTGCTGAAAATCTGTACCATTTCTCGTTATTGTCCTTTTGTCTATTTGTGAATCCCAAACTACACATGTATTATAGTGATGTTTGAAAGATAATTGATAACAACAATAATTACTATGGAAGGTGAGCAGCTTTGGCTTCCTCCCTCCAGACGTCAAGCAAGTTCATGGGCGTCAGTCTGTAGCATGTCCACTGGTCAAAGTTTAACTATACTAAAGGTCATAATGATTTTTCTAAATGTAGCAATAGTGTTTCAGGGAGGAGCAAAGACAAAGTAAAACTAATGAAATTTCCACTTTACTCCTCCCATATTTGCATAACAGCCCGCCCCCCAACTCCAACTACACTGCCATATACAGTATACACCAGCACACACAAAGTAGACAGAAGGGAGTGAGGCAATGGAGCCGTATTCTGTCCTGGCACTGCTGCTTTGCCTCTGTGCGAGCGCCTCTGAGGGGGGGAAACTCCTTGTTGTACCCATAGATGGCAGCCCCTGGCTAAGCATGAAGATTTTGGTCAAAGAACTTGTTGCCAGAGGACATGAAGTAGTAGTCCTTGTCCCTGATGTCAGCTTACTTGTCAAGGGCTCACAGAGTTTCAACACTGTCATATACAAAGTTCCTTACACTAAGGAAGATCTGGATGCAAAGTTTGCTGCATTGAGTAGCGGGATCTTCACTCCGCCAAAGTTTTCGGATTATTTGGACAATGTAGACCTCTTGGTGAATTATACAACCACAGAGATGCGAGGATGTGAAAATCTATTGAAGAATGAAGAGCTCATGGATCAGCTAAGAGGAGAAGCATTCGAGGCGTTACTGACAGATCCTTTCCTTCCTTGCGGGTCTCTTCTGGCACGCATGTTCTCAATCCCGGCTATTTACTATTTGCGTGGACTTCCCTGTGGGCTGGACCAAAAAGCCAACCAGTGCCCCTCACCTCCATCTTTTGTCCCAATCAGCTTCTCTGATAACACAGATAAAATGGACTTCCCTCAAAGAATTCAAAATACACTGCTTTATGGAGTTGAGTCATACATGTGCACTGTTGAGTATGCCACTTATGATGATTTGGTAAGAAGATACATTGACGAGAACATGTCTTACCAGCAGCTACTAGGTGAGGGAGCAATATGGCTGCTCAGATATGATTTCACCTTTGAATGGCCTCGACCAATCATGCCCAATATGGTGTTTATTGGAGGGATCAACTGTGCAAAGAAATCTCCCCTGTCTGCGGTAAGTGCCTGAAGAATATTTTGTTATGAAGCTTTTATATCTGGATCCAATCAATGTCACTGGTGTAGTAACATATGGTGGCCTGAGGAACTTGAGGACTGCATTGTTGGTTTACCTTTAAGCCTGCTTTACTATTGCAAGTTGATTGTGTTTGACTTTAAAGTTATGCTCAAACAAGCGAAATGGGGGTATTTACGTGAATAATCTCTTGTTTTATCACTGGTGGGATGAGGTATATGATTACAAATCAGATCAGTGCACAGATAAATTATTGCTACAGCTGTAAAGCTGATTTACACGCCATCTTGCAAGGAGTGGTCTACTGGAGCAGCAGCATCTCAGAGAGGGACAGAGAGAAGCTGGACAAGGTCATCAGGAAGCTCTGTCCTGGGCTGTCCCCAGGCACAGTTCAGCAGGAGGGGGACAGAAGTGTCCTGGAAAAACATCTACAGTATATGCTGAACCATAACTGTGGACAATGCAGGGGGTGCGGACTTATTCACCCCCGCTGTGTGAAGGAGAGGTTCTGCAAGTCTTTCCTTCCTGCTGACTGTCAGACTGTACAACGAACAATGAGGTCAACCGAACACTGCTGAGGTGACATCACATGGCATGGTGTGCATCTGTGCAATAATTTGAATGTCAGAATGTACAGGAAGGATCCACATATGTCCACTGCCACTTTACCTTCCCAATTTGTCCCATACTTTCATGCTGCTGATATCTTAAAAAATCAATCATTTTTACACAAAATGATCTGCAATGTTATGCTTGCCAGGGCATCTATCGACAGAGACAGTGTAGATCAAAATAGCAGCTTTTTATTTGTAAAGTGTTCTACACACCTTTGATAAAAATGCACAAAAAAGGCGGTGGCCGATATGGCCTAAAATTCATATTGCGGTATAATTTGGGACACAGATGGTAAACGGTATATTGCGGTATAATTTGGTGTGTGAATTTCAATAGGTCTAGCAGGTTCTTGCATAAAATAGTCAAGATTGTTACTTATTTATATATATATATATTTTTTTTTGAGTTTGAAAATCAGGAGTGTTCAGACTCCACAAACACAATCACCAGTATTTTATCCAGTATTTTATAAATTGTGTACATGGCTTGAGTAAAAGCTATTGTTCGTTTACAAAGCTGGTCTTGACATTTGTTGACGCTCCCTGAGCGCTTTTTTTGGCGCTTGCAGCCGAACAAAAACAGCGCATTGGATTTGAACAATCTATGTAAATTTGATAATTTTGGCACAATTACTTTTGTTTAACAAAGTAGCTTTCGTGAGCTATTGACCGCGGACAAGCTATTGGCGCTTGTCAACATTAAGCCCATGGATGTGATCCGGGCTAATGCTGCTGGGCTAATGCCGGGTTTTTTTGGTGCTTTCTTCTGGCGTCAGAGTCCCTAGCATGGAGAAGGGACTCTGTTGGGCCTTTTGATGACATAATGACCTATCGTAATAGCCGGTTGTGTTTACATCTAAAACCACAAGAAATAAAATGCATTGCTTTTATGTTACATGAAAAAATCTTTACCTTACCTTCTAAATGTCTGAAATTGGTGATTTTTGTAGCGATTAAAACAATCGATGGGCTGGAAAAACGAGAGACAAATCACGCTCGCAACAGATAATAGGAGAGCGTGAGTTCATGCCCACTTTTTTGGGAATACTACCCACAATGCCGTGCGGTCGAGCCAGAAGCTCGGAACTCTTGATCCCTGTATTCTTTTTTCTTTCCATGATCTTAGGTGAGGCCGGGCCTCACCTGCCTCATCTGACAGCACGTCACTGAAAATTAGATACAGTTCTTGGTGATACTGATACCTTCAAAAAACAGGAACATAATTTTGTGTTCTACCCATGCATCTATAATAATATTTCTTCTACCAAGAATACAGGTGGCATCCAATCCAGGGATAGTAACACTGCCTAGTCCACAGATGATTTGTCACGCAACAACAACAAAAAATTTACGTACTATGCAAAATTAAATGTATAATAAAGAAACCAGCAAAGTACATCTACGAAAATAAAATGAAATGACAAGGAATTACCAGTGGAAAGAGCGCAGGCGTCACCCCACCCCGATATTATAATAGATCCATGCCCCCGACACGTGTGTGGTTCACGTGTAGTGCACTTGTTATACAGGTGTAGGCTATAGTGCAATCTTATGTAAGCACATGTGTGAGTGTGTGAGCTAGCTTACTTTTTCCACAGATAATACAGCTAACATCACCGCTTTTGGCACATTAAAAGAGAATAACATATTACATGTATAGTTGTAGGTGAAAATAGATCAACACCGTTTGCCAAATGTAACATTCAGCTCGGACTAGTTTAACACTCACCAGACGCTTCTTCTGAACAGGCCAAACCTAGTCCTCTCCATGTCTCACTGAACTCACTTTGCTTTTCAGTCACAAAATTATGTTTTCTCCGTCCCCTACACCCCATAGAAACAAAATATTATCTACACCCATGTTCCCCGCAGTAAAGTAAAAGCTCGCTGCTCTCGTGGTGTCCGTATGCTCAGTGCGCTGCGTTCACAGTGCATGGGTTGGAAATTGCAAACATGGATTTTTTACCCAATTAAATTTAAAAACGGCCGAGTGAGATAAGTCAATTGCATTAACAGATCAAATTATCACTGCGCTGTAACTAGACCAGATCCATGCTATAGACACGAAGGAAAATCCAGTAAATATAGATTTTCCTGCATGTCTTCATTTTTGGATTTTTTTGAAATGCCTATGGAGATTTGGAATCATAATTTTTTTACATCTGTAACACGAGGGACTGCCAAATTTAGGAAATTTCCTAACCAAATTTACACACACACAATGCATGATTCCATGCCTGCCTCACCCATACAGTGCCTTTCGAAAGTATTCGTCCCCCTTGAACCTTTCAACATTTCAGGCTTCAAACATAAAGATATACAATTTTAATGTTTTGTCATGCATCAACAACAAGTGGGACACAATCGTGAAGTGGAACGAAATTTGTTGGATAATTTAACTTTTTTAACAAATAAAAAACTGAATAGTGGGGCGTGCAATATTATTCGGCCCCTTTACTTTCAGTGCAGCAAACTCACTCCAAAAGTTCAGTGAGGATCTTTGAATGATCCAATGTTGTCCTAAATGACTGATGATGATAAATAGAATGCACCTGTGTGTAATCAAGTCTCTGTATAAATGCACCTGCTCTTTGATAGTCTCAGGGTTCTGTTTAAAGCACAGAGAGAACCATGAAGACAAAGGAACACACCAGGCAGGTCCGAGATACTGTTGTGGAGAAGTTTAAAGCCGGATTTGGATACAAAAAGATTTCCCAAGCTTTAAACATCTCAAGGAGCATTGTGCAAGCAATTATATTGAAATGGAAGGAGTATCAGACCACTGCAAATCTACGAAGACCCGGCCGTCCCTCCAAACTTTCATCTCAAACAGCCAAGAGGCCCATGATCACTCTGGATGAACTGCAGATAACTACAGCTGAGGTGGGAGAGTCTGTCCATAGGACAACAATCAGTTGTGCACTGCACAAATCTGGCCTTTATGGAAGAGTGGCAAGAAGAAAGCCATTTCTCAAAGATATCCATAAAAAGTCTCGTTTAAAGTTTGCCACAAGCCACCTGGGAGACACACCAAACATGTGGAAGAAGGTGCTCTGGTCAGATGAAACAAATCAAGCTTTTTGGCCACAATACAAAACGATATGTTTGGCGTAAAAGCAACACAGCTCATCACCCTGAACACACCATCCCCACCTCAGCTGTAGTTATCTGCAGTTCATCCAGAGTGATCATGGGCCTCTTGGCTGCATCTCTGATCAGTCTTCTCCTTGTTTGAGATGAAAGTTTGGAGGGACGGCCGGGTCTTGGTAGATTTGCAGTGGTCTGATACTCCTTCCATTTCAATATAATTGCTTGCACAGTGCTCCTTGAGATGTTTAAAGCTTGGGAAATCTTTTTGTATCCAAATCCGGCTTTAAACTTCTCCACAACAGTATCTCGGACCTGCCTGGTGTGTTCCTTTGTCTTCATGGTTCTCTCTGCGCTTTAAACAGAACCCTGAGACTATCAAAGAGCAGGTGCATTTATACGGAGACTTGATTACACACAAGTGCATTCTATTTATCATCATCAGTCATTTAGGACAACATTGGATCATTCAAAGATCCTCACTTAACTTCTGAAGGGAGTTTGCTGCACTGAAAGTAAAGGGGCCGAATAATTTTGCACGCCCCACTTTTCAGTTTTTTATTTGTTAAAAAAGTTTAAATTATCCAATAAATTTCATTCCACTTCACGATTGTGTCCCACTTGTTGATTCATGACAAAAAATTAAAATTGTATATCTTTATGTTTGAAGCCTGAAATATGTCAATGTTGAAAGGTTGAGGGGGCCGATTACTTTCGCAAGGCACTGTATCTGTTCACATACCAAAGTGTTATTCTAGCAGTAATGTTTTAAACGCTGCACAATTGTTTGATGTGTGCATAGGTCAATACATTCGTAGCACAATATAGCGCAAGCTTACAATATGGCTTTTACAGATGTGGTTGAATAAGGTAAAAATGTCTCCATTACGTAATTTTTCTGTGTTTCCATAGGATTTGGAGGAGTTTGTGGAGGGATCCGGAGAACATGGCATCATTGTGTTTACTCTCGGCTCGATGGTGTCCAACATGCCTTTGGAAATAGCAAAACTCTTCTTTGAGGCTTTTGGGCAAGTCCCACAAAGGGTAAGTAGCGTTATGCAAGTGTAATCCAAAGTCTAGAATTGTCAATGATCTACATGTTCACTATCATTCAGAAGAGGCCTGTGATTGAGAGAAAAGGTCGACTTTGGGATAAATAGTAGGTGCAGTGTCACATCAATCAATCAATCAAATTTTATTTATAAAGCGCTTTTCATACATAAGATGCAACACAAAGTGCTTTACAGATTGGTTAAAAACAATCCCGCCGACCCAAGACCCCTCCCCCAGACCACCCAACAGACCCCCCCCAAACCACAGACAAACACACACACACGCGCTCATGAACACTCATACACACACACACACACACACACACACACACACACACACACACACACCAGTAAAACAATAAAAACATGATGAGAGACTTGGCAGGGTTCAGATGCAACCAGCTGAAAAAGCGTCATCCAAGGAGCCGTCTGCACCAGGAGCAGAGAGCCGCCCGTAGCCACAGGGGACGACACAGGACCCAGAGGAGACATGAAACCGAGGCCCCAGGCCCCCACCAGGCCCAAGAGTCCGACCCCCGCAGCCACACGGACCACTGCTCCCAGTGCAGAGGGCTCCTCCAGAGGAAACACTGGGTACACTAAAAACAATACAATAAGTAAAACACTAAAATGTGAGACTAAAAGGAACACACAATACATGAATAATAGCAATAGCAATATAATAAATAATAAATAATAAAAGATAAATAGAATGGAATAATAAAAACTAATCAAAAGCTACTCTAAAAAGGTGCGTCTTGAGCCTACTTTTAAAAATATGAACGTTCTCTGCGGCCCTGAGCTCCTACGGCAGACTGTTCCAGAGACGGGGGCCGTAGTGCTGGAAAGATGCCTCGCCGTGAGTGTGTGTCCTGACTTTGGGGATGGTTAGGAGTCTGCTGCCGGAGGAGCGCAGGGGCCGGGAAGGTTCATAGGATAAAAGCAAATCTGAAAGATAAGAAGGCCCAAGACCATTAAGACATTTAAAAACCATTAAAAGAACCTTAAAATCGATTCTGAAACACACGGGGAGCCAATGCAGCGATTTTAAAACCGGTGTAATGTGGTCCCGCCCCCTGGTCTTAGTCAGGACACGTGCGGCCGAGTTTTGGAGTAATTGAAGACTTGCAATGTTCTTTTTGGGAAGACCAGAGAGCAGGGCATTACAATAGTCAATGCGACTGGTGATAAAAGCATGCATCAGCGTCTCCGTGTTGCCCAGAGAGAGAATGGGGCGGACTCTGGCGATGTTCTTTAGATGATAAAAACCTATTTTTGTGATACTCTTGATGTGAGGAATAAAAGTCAGCTCAGAGTCAAAGATTACGCCCAGATTTTTCACTTGTGATGATGGATTAAAAGAGTGTGATTGGAGTTTTGATAAAAGTTTCTCTCTCTGGGCCTCAGGACCGATGACTAAAACCTCAGTTTTGTCCTGGTTAAGCTGGAGAAAGTTTTCTGCCATCCAGAATTTCAGGTCTAAAATGCAGTTAAAAAGAGCATCCATTGGCCTGGTGTCATCAGGAGACATGGAGATGTACAGCTGTGTATCATCTGCATAACTGTGGAAGTTAATTCCATGTCTCCTGACGACACCGCCAAGAGGGAGCATGTACAGGTTAAAAAGGACTGGACCTAAAATGGAACCCTGGGGCACACCACATGTGATTTTATGGACCTGAGAGGAGCAGGTATCCAAACTTACCATGAAGGATCTGTCTGTTAAATAAGAAGTGAACCATTTGTGGACAGCACCAGAGAGGCCGAGGTGTTGTAGGCGTGATAAAAGAATTGTGTGGTCTACTGTATCAAAGGCAGCGCTAAGATCCAGTAGAACCAACACAGTCACCTTTTTGAAATCATAACTTAGTCTAAGATCGTTTAAAATCTTTAAAAGAGCAGTCTCTGTGCTGTGGTTCACCCTAAAACCTGATTGAAATTTCTCTAAAATTTGCTGCTGAATGAACATGACATTGTTCATTCAGTCCATGCACACATTATGTTTGGAAACTAATCTGTGCTATCACCCCTTCAAGCATCACTAATCACACACGCACGCACACACACACAACTCAAACTGAAATTCTTCATGCATGTTTCTTACGTTTCAGGTTTTGTGGAGATATGATGGAGAAATACCAGCTGATGCCCCTAAGAATGTGATGCCGTTGAAATGGCTGCCGCAAAATGACTTGCTAGGTAATAAAGACTGGCTTGAGTTTCCATTAGTTTCCATACATGTGTGTTGAAGTTTGAAGGATTCTGGAGAGTTTGAATCACTTTAACTTCAGCTCTAAACTTCACAATTTCTATTATATGAAACCACAAGGGCTGCTTTCATGTCTCTCCAGCCCATCCCAAAGCACGACTCTTCATGACCCACGGTGGCATCCATGGCACGTACGAGGGCATCTGCAACGGCGTGCCCATGCTCATGTTCCCTCTGTTTGGAGACCAGCAGGACAACGTGCATCGCATGGTGGCCAAAGGGGTGGCAGAACAGCTCCTCATCTATGACCTGAGCACTGAAAGTCTGGTCACTGCACTCAAGAAGATTCTCAATGACAAGAGGTAAGTCACAGATCGGGGAGTTAATTAAAGTTCTACAGCTCTGGAAACCAGGGGCTGGTGCTATATGTACTGGGTGTAGCTCTGACCACCCTTCTGACCCAGAAATGGATTATCAATCAATCAATCAATGTTTATTGGTAGAGCGCCTTTCCTACACAAGGCAACGCAAAGCGCCTCACAACCCATATCACATCATGCATAAATCAAACACATTAAGAGCACAAGAAATATTAAAAACATAAAAAATAAAATCACACAAGTTAAAAACCCTAAAACATTAAAATCACAGATGGGATTAAAATCATAATTAGTCACAGTGCATTAAAAAGATTGAGGATAAAAACAAAGATAAATTCAGTTGTATGCACAGCTAAACAGAACTGTTTTCAGCCTAGATTTGAAAACTGCCAGAGTAGACACCTGTCTCACATTCTCAGGAAGACGGCTCCAGACTCTAGCTCCATGAATCTGAAATGCAGTTTCCCCATATCTAGTACCGACTCTCGGCACCAGCAGGAGTCCAGTCCCTGTGCTCCTCAGAGTCCGGGTCGGTTCATATGGCACCAACATGTCGCGGATGTACCCCAGTGCGAGGCCATGGAGAGACTTGTACACAAGTAAAGCTGCTTTGTAGTCTATTCTCTGAGCCACAGGAAGCCAGTGCAGAGAAATGAGAACAGGACTAATGTGGTCGTACTTCCTGGTTCTAGTCAGGACTCGAGCTGCTGCATTTTGATTATATTGCAACTGTAAGTAAGTAAGTAAGTAAGTTTTTATTTATATACCGCCTTTTCACTGCAGATCTGAGTCTCAAAGCGGTTTACAATTGTTAATTTTGGGCATTTGTCTCACACTCCACACAGAGATGGGAGCGGGGTCGCCAGTACAGGAGGCGCATGCCAGAACTATTGGACATATTTTTAGTGGTAGGGGAAACCGGAGTACCCGGAGGAAACCTACGCAGACACGGGGAGAACATGCAAACTCCACTCAGAAAGGCCCTGGTCCGACCGGGATTCGAACCCAGGACCTTCTTGCTGAGAGGCGAGAGTGCTATCCACTCAGCCAACTGTTTTACCGCTTGTTTGAAGAGACCTGTGAAAAAAGCCATTGCAGTAGTCTAACCTTCTGGAGACAAAAGCATGGATAAGAGTCTCCAAGTCTGCCTTAGACACTATGTTTTTAATTTTAGCAATGTTTTTTAGGCGGTAATAAGCTGCTGATTACAGATTTTATGTGGCTATTAAAATTTAAGTCTGAGTCCATTATCACTCCCAGATTTCTGACCTGATTTGAGGGTTTTAGGGAGAGAGCCTGGAGGTGACAGATGACACTCTCTCTTTGTTTCTGGGGTCCGAAAACAATCATTTCAGTTTTTTCGGTGTTCAGTTGGAGAAAGTTAATTTGCATCCAATCACCGATTTGCTGGATACAGTGAAGGAGCGAGTCCACTGGTTCATGTTCTCCTGCAGTCAGGGACACATAAATCTGAGTATTGTCAGCGTAATTGTGATAAGAGACGTTATTACTTTGAATCAACTGACCTAAAGGCAACATGTAAATATTAAACAGAAGAGGCCCCAGGATTGACCCCTGTGGCACTCCGCAGGTCAGGGCCAAGTGGTCTGAGGCACAAACTTTCTGTCTTGTAAATAGGACCTAAACCAACTTTGGGCGGTGCCAGCAACACCAACCCAGTCCTCTAGTCTCTGAATGAGGATACCATGATCAATAGTGTCAAAAGCAGCACTTAAATCTAATAGGATTAGGACTGAGACTTTTCCTGCGTCAGTGTTAAGTTTGATGTCATTCGTTACCTTTACTAGAGCGGTCTCTGTGCTGTGGTGGGGTCTAAAGCCAGACTGGAACATATCAAAAGCGTTATTGATTATTAAAAATTCTGTAAGTTGTTGATAGAAAACTTTTTCTAGAATTTTTCCCATGAAAGGCAGATTTGAAATGGGGCGATAACTTTTGAGTGCCAGGGCATCCAGACTCCTGATTAAGAGGAAGAAAATGGATGGATGGATGGAGGTCTGGGAAAGTGCAAGGGAACGATGTGGGGAACCCCGGATGAATACTTTTTAGAATGGCTACCTTAGTCACATGAGTTTGTGATAAAAACGACTAAAATGGAATCCCTACATGTCATTCTGTTAGTTAGAAGCACAAGAAAAAAGCAAGTATCTGACTTTCTTTCATTCAACGAGATGTAGGCAATGTCTTACATATTATTGTTGGCTCTTCTTTCTGCTTGCTAAGGTAACTGTCTTCCGTTGGTTTACCCCACCTTCCAATCCACATTAAATGTAAAATATCTATTGTATGTTTTAAAATCTGGTATGTGCTCCGAGCTCAAGCAGCCACCTGAAATTAAGTAGCAACAGTTTGATTGACATTTTGTATGCTTTTGAGTATTTATAACCCATGCTTTGCACCCACCTGAAAAAAATTACAATAAAATCTCACCAGCTGCATTTCACCAAAGAAACTGGCAACTCATACAAATGAGTCATATGATGTAAATTTGTCTTTGATTGATAGTATACTAATAATCCAATACCTCTTTTGATCATCTTGTGTCAAGAACTTTTTAGTAGGGTCAATATACTAATTGACCCAAAAGATTTTGCTAATTTTTTTATTTTTGGTGGTTTTATGTTAGACTGGGTCTAGTCTATAACATACTAAAAGTTGGACAAAATCGGAGTATGGGAAAGTGTCAAAATTTGGAGATGACTATTTCGGTTTAAAAGTAATTTTCCATTTACGTGTGAAGCACCAACTTGGTCAGTTTTCATGATAAATCAATAAATTTGTATTTTTATCCAGGTTTTCAGGTTCAATCTTTCACATGGAAGGGTTACCAGTGATGCCAAATAAACCCTTATACCACATCAAGGGGTACTCCAACCCCCATTTTCCTTGTTGCACCCACACTGATTCACTTACGTCACAGTACTTTTTCAAAACTTTCAACACCTCATCCTCATCTATCACTGGATCATTTTTCATATTGTCACAATTTTTCATCTTGGCAATGCCCACATGCACTGGTACATTCTAGTCTATGCCTCCTGCAGGTACACCTTACACCAGGGTCTCTAACCGGACTGAGTCAGGTGAGTAACCTGAAGATTTGAGGAAATGGGTGGAGTCATCTGTGCTCCTACTCAGTTTGAAGCAAAACCTGCACCCACATGGCCCTTTCTGGAAGCGGTTTGAGACCCCTGTCTTAGGGTATTACATCCTTCCGAACAGTTGCAATGAATTATCTTAATCAGTGTTTAGGGGTAGGGGTACCCCTAGATATGGTATAAGGGTTTATTTGGCATCACTGGTAACCCTTTCATGTGAAAGATTGACCCTGAAAAAATAAGTCATCTTCGAAATTCAACACTTTCCCATACTCCGATTTTGTCCAACTTTTAGTATGTTAAAGTCTAGACCCAGTCTAAAATAAAACCACAAAAAAACAAAATTTAGCAATTTTTTTGGGGTTGTGGGTACGCGGGCAGTACAGTATATTGACCCTACTATTTAAGTGATAGTGTCAAATCAGGCTACAGCTAATAGTAAACAAAAGGACAGTTTATCTACTTATTTCTGTATGTAATTTTAACACATCTACTACGAGTCTCTGTTCTCCTTTTATTTAAGCTTACATCATAGATTAAATAAATTTGCATTTGTAAATTTGCATACGTTTGCATTTACACATACTGGGCCTCATTTATGAAACTTGCGTATTTTGTTGCGTACGCCTCATTTACACACTGATTCATAAATGAGGCCCAATGTATTCATTGAACTCTCATCAGACAGTAATAGAGAGTAACTTCTACAATAAACATATCTAATATTTTTGATGATATTTATCTATTTTAGTCTTGTCTCTCTATATTAATGGTTGCTGTTTGGTGTTTGCAGATACCAGGAGAACATGCAAACATTATCCAGCTTGCACAACGACCGCCCTGTGCCTCCTCTGGACTTGGCCGTGTTCTGGACTGAGTTTGTTCTGAGGCACAAAGGAGCCGATCACCTCCGAGTGGCAGCACACAACCTCAACTGGATCCAGTACTTTTGCCTGGACGTTCTGGGGTTTTTAGTTCTCATTGTGTTCATTGTTGTGTGGATTACAGTGAAATGCTGCTTGTTTTGCACCAGGAAGTGTTGTGGAAGAGGGACAGTAAAAAAGAAGCAAGCCTAGTTTTTCCGTGTTACATGACTGTAGCTCAAGCAAGATAGTATTTTGTTTGCACCATGGTGAACGTTTTTGTACACAGCATACTTCTTGGGTGGTCATGGTATAATTGGGTTAGGAAATTACAATACATATTTGGAGAGTTTGGGAGCAATGTTGCATGTTCTGCTACACTTGCCCTGAGCGCATGAGAAAATGAATGACAGTCTGTGTGTAATTTGTCCTTTAAATGAGTGAGGGCCCCTACTTTAAAGCTGTAATTGTGCCGTCTATAAAAACAACTACTAATACAAATGTATTATGAGGCTTTATCATCTCTATGTAGCTTTTAAATTGTGTTATTAAAAAAGAAAAACTGTTATTGGTCTGCATCAGTCCAAAATGAATGACTGATTATTAAATCTCCTGTAATGTAATAAACAAATGCACTCACTGTCTTGATACAAAGGTATAAAGAAAACCCTTTTAAATTTGAATTTATTCCACCATCTGGTGGAGACACACCAAAAGTGCAAATACCATATTATATTTTCTCTGTTCAATACTTTAAATCAATGTTTTTCATGTGTCCCATGGCATGTTAGTGTGCCTTCAGATGTTGGTTGGTGGGTATTTGAAAACCAGTCCCCATAGTTTATTCTGTATAAAATACACTTTGAGGAGAGTGACTTATAAAAATAATCTCTTATGTTGCATGAGTTTTTGCTGGTGGTGTGCCATGTGATTGTTTTTTTTCAATTAAAATAAGGTGTGCAATGGCTCAAAAAGGCTGGGAACCCTGCTTTTAAATAATTATGTCTATCTAATTGGTTTTTTTCAACGCACACTGACAAGGGAAATTCTGGGGGGAATTCTAGATGGAAAACCACAACTAATATAGTTTGAATATTAGTCAAATGAATATTCAGGTCTGATATACCGCAGGGGCCACATTTATTCATAAAACGTTGTTGGTGACACCGTTGCACAGACAATGAGTCAAAGCCTTACACCTGCCCACAACACTTACACCTGCCCACAACACTTCCTGTGGGTCTCTTGCTATAAGATCAGGCAGAGCATGTTGGTTATCCTGACTTCTGCAACAATGGCTTCTTACTGCTTTGCCATCATCCTGTGCCTGATCCCGCTCTCTGGTAAAATATCCTACTATCATATTGTCCCATTGTTTTTAATTTTTAAAAGAACAATAATATATATAGTTATTCTTTGTATCTTTTTTCCCTGAGTTATAACACATGTGATTTGGTCTCATCTTAGCGGGAGGTAACAGTGAAGTCGTTGGAGGGAAAATTACAAAGCCTCACACAAGAAAATACATGGCCTCACTCCAGTTTTACGGGCATCACATCTGTGGTGGTTTTCTGATCCAAGAAGACTTTGTGTTAACCGCAGCACACTGTACATCGTAAGTTACTGGTTCATTTCAGAATTTGAACTTTTATCAAAGCCTTGATAGTTTATCTAATGGATGAATATGTTCTGTATATTTGTCTAAGAGTAACACCAATGACGGTTGTTCTGGGAGCCCATAACATTACTAACAAGAAGGAGAGAAGTCAGCAGAGTATTCAGGTGGACGAATACATCCAACATCCGCATTATAGTGGGGGATTTGAATTTGATATAATGCTTCTGAAGGTGAGTAGACTGAATGATTAAATATCTGTGCTGAACTTGCAATATTGACAACTCTGTGGGTGAAAGATTTGACACTTCACATTCACCTTACAAAATGTTTCCCTTCTTGCAGCTAAAGAAAAAAGCTAAACTTAATGAGTTTGTACAAACTATTGCTCTACCAAAAAAAGATAAAATTACAACTGCCCTCAAAGAATGCTCAGTGCCTGGCTGGGGCAAAATGCACCCCAGTGAAGGCAGCCCTGCTTCTGGTGTGCTCCGAGAAGCCGAGGAGACGATTCAGTTCAACTTTGAATGTAAAAATATCTGGCAACAGTTCTTCAACTCACAGCACATGATCTGCACCAAATTCAACGAGACTGGAGGAAGCCTGTGCAATGTAATTGTGTTTTATTATTTCCAAACTATGCAGTACAGAATATACAATTATAAACTTATAACATGTTTTTCCTCCCACAGGGTGATTCTGGAGGACCTCTGATTTGCAAAAACAAGCCTCTGGGAATTACAGCTTTTACAAAACTGGGTAACTGCAATGATCAAAAGTATCCTCATGTCTTCACTAAGATTTCCAGTTTCCTCCCGTGGATTAAAAAAGTCACAGGAGGCCGGAGTGAAGAAAGCAAGACTATGCCGAGATAATGCATTTAAACATTTTGGGTGCATAGTTCAATATTCAACTGTACACCTCAAAAAAACGTCAGTTTTCATTTGTGTTGAATGACATGTTTTAAAAGAATGTTCATTGCATACAGTAGAAACTATATTAAGCATATGAAAGTGGTGGTGAAAGCTGAAAAAACCACAGGCCACACAAGTGCCCCTGGTTTTAGTCATAGTGCAAACTCTTAAAGTTGAACCGCTTCCTGTCGGTAAACGCTGTCATCTGGAGAGAAAGTATAAGACATGCACTCAATTAAAACATCATCATTCAAACTGTTCAATATTATACGTTTTACAAACAGCCTCATTCTGTTTTGGTGTGTTTAGAAAATAAATACTGTATATAGAAAACTCACTTGGCTTGGATCTCTTGTGAAATATCTCTTCTCTATCACCTACAGACAAAACATATCAATTAGCTAACACATTATTACCCATATGGACACTTTATTTAACATACTATCACATAACTTGAAATTTAAATCACACTATAACCTTTTATACCTTGTCAAAGAATCGACTTAGTTTAACTGCATTTGAAGTTCCAGCGGCGAGGTACCGTGGGTTTGTGCAGTCCTGTGAAAACAAAACAACACATCCGCCTCCATTTAACTGGTATCGGTGAAGAAGTTCCACTGTGGTCGAAACTTAGTTTATGTAAAGGTGTGAATCCTGCTGAATTACTGCAAATCTGTTTCAACGTAAAAAAAAAAACGGTCATTTGTTTCTGTACTAATGGACTGAATACAAAAAAGCAACCATCTGTAAACTCAATGTGGCATACAATGACTGCTTGAGGATCTTACTAAAAAGGCCACAATGGGAAAGTGCAATTACCTTGTTTGTGTCAGCTGGAATCAGGACATTTCAGGCAGCCATTCGAGGTCTGATGTACAGTTTTATTTGTCGTTATTATACGTGTTGTTTTGTGTTTTTATCCTGGACCACGAGTCTGTATTAAAAGTTTGATGATGATGATGATCAGCCTCAAAGTAAAAAAGCTTCAGTATATTCAAAATGCTGCAGCTCAAGCCCTGACCAGAACCAGGAAGTCAGTCACATTAGTACTGTTCTCGGGTCTCTGCACTGGCTTCCTGTGGCTCAGAGAATGGACTTTAAAGCAGTTCTGTTTGTTACAGGTCTCTCCATGGCCTTGCACCAAAGTACATTAGTGACATGTTAGTCCCATATGGCTTCTGTGGACTCACCACCTGCAGGAGGATCAGTGAGGGGCTGGTGCTATGTGTACTGGGTGCAGCTCTGACTGCCACCCAGGATAGTCCCATATGAACCAACTAGGACTCTGAGGAGCACAGGGACTGGACTCCTGCTGGTACCCAGAGTTAAAACTAAACATCGGGACAAGGCATTTCAGATTTACGCAAATAAAATCTTGAAACTTCCTGATAATGTGAAACAAGCTTCTTCTCAATATTCAAATCCAGGTTAAAAACAGGTTATCTGTCATCACAGTTATCTGTGCATACTCTTTTTAATGTACAGTGATTTTTTCTGCTTTTAATTTCTTGTGTGACTGATCTTGTTTTGTTCAGCACTTTGAGTTGCCTCGAGTATAGATTTGTGCCATACAAATATACCTGCCTTCCCATGCCTTTATATAAAATATAATAATATTATATGATCACATATAGGATTATATACATACTAGATTTATCTCCTCTGCGTTGAAATCTTCAGAAAGGAAAGCTGTTCGAGTCAGAACTTCATTGCGCTTGTTATCTGGAATTTGGTCAAATTTTGTGCCAATTAGGAGCAAAGGCACTGGGTTTTCAGCAAACCGCTCTCTGTCATAGTCACTGCTAAAGAGAAAAAAATAATGGTTTGAAAAAGAAACACATTACAAAACATCAATTTAAGTGAACATATTTAGACACAAAGAACAAACCCATTTGAGACAATAACTCCAGTTGGTGATGAATCTCTGTTCAGTGCTTCTAATGACCATCGGTATAGATTTTGAGAAGATTTCTTATTTGTCAAGTCGTGCACTAACACAATACCTGTAAGAGAGAAGGCACCATGCTCAACCAGTTACATTCAAGTTAAATAAACAACCATACCATTAACAGAATTGTAAAAGACAGCTCGGGTGCTCTTGATGCTGCTGGCACAGCCCACTGAGCCACCAACATCCCACAGTTCAATGTAATAAGTTTTTTCTTCAGGAGTTCCTTCTTTATAATCATGTATCTGCATTAATATTGTTGTATGATTATTTACAGACAAACATCAGTATGCATATAATATAAAAAAACAAAATGACACATTTTCCAAATACAAACATGTAGATAATGTCATTGACAAATCATATATTCACTTACCCGGACATCCACTGAGCAGCCCACAGTCCATGAAGGATTTCCTAAAACCTGATTCTGACAAAGTAAATGAACTAAGGACGATTTCCCCACACCTAAAGCCAAAAAATATAAAACATACAATGACCAATCTAACGACAAACTTAAAGGTATGGAACATTTTCTTTATCCGGGTGGATCATCAAAGCTATTGGTCCTCCTAATTGTCATTCTGTTTTGATATGTGACGTAAGGCTGTCGTGGAGTGCGGTTTTTTTTTAATAAAATTTGGGAGTTGTTGATGACATTTGGTTAAAATTACTAATAATTTATACACCCGATCATAATAGGGAAAGCATAAACAGAGGGCACAGTCATTATATTACAGTCATTAACAATAACATGCAATCTTCTGGTGAGAGATACAGTACTCTGGCAGCAGCAGAAAAAGATTTGACTTAAGAAGCTTATATATGTCAATTCATTATGCATTTCATTCACTGTTACAATCTAAACTGAAAAGGACAGGCTTGTAATAAATCTGGACGGAGAACTTTTATTATATTCACGTATTTCTCAAATCGCGACCCAAGTGAGTGATGCAAACAGAAGTTAACATTTGTTCTAGCCATCCGTTTGACGGTCCGCATCCAGTTTTATATTGACATAATCACACACGAAAGTATTATTTTACTCACCAGAGTCTCCTAAAACCAGCACTTTCACCCTGTCAAGTGAAGCCATTTTCAGGAACAGAGAGTTACCGGATGTAAACAATGTTATCTCCGCCCAGCTCGCTGTCTTGTTTCGCCCAACACAAATTGCTCTGGCGTTTTATTTTTCTTTATGCCATGATTTTAGCATATTTCACTTTTACTTTATACGTTCAAATTGTTTTGTGTTAATACAATGTTGGAATAAATATTCACAATCAAAAATAATCAATTTGTGAGATTCACAAGAGGTATTTAGACTGTGTTGGGATTAACCATTTTTTCAAATCATTGGTTCAAATTTCTGTCAATCAAAAAGGTCAATCTTGATTCGCTGTGGCAAAATACCACAACCTCCTTTTATTTCCGGGGTGTTTTTTTGAGTTAGCATGGTTAGCTTCGTCTGCTAAAGTCGAGGCGATAAATACTACAATATAAACCGATTGATGGTATCAATATTTTTTCCAGATTCCTGAAATAGTTATTATCAGAAGTACATTTTTGGAGATGACTTTGAATCTTTTCTGAAATGACATAAAGAAGAGCTCACAGCTATTTAGAAAACCGGTAAGTACGAGCTATAGCATTACTCTGTAAGCAGGTAACGCTAATGTTATGAAAGTTAGCCGATAAAAAGTTTATTTCAGTCGGCAATACATATAAAAGCACATCTATGTATACTATTTCTCGGCAACGGATCCTATTTGGTTACAACGGAACATATTTTGCTTCAGAAGAATGAGTTAGTTTTTGTCTCGTTAGAACAAGTATTGTGGGTTCCTTCGCCACTGAAAACAAATCGATAAAAGTATGCTATATCAAAGGTGGATTTGTCTCGACTAAATTCAAACAACAATATGGACAAAGGCAAAGTTTGTGGCGCCACTTGCATGTGAAAGCCAGATCCTGTTAGACCAATGAAGCCAAGCAGGGCAGGACCTGGTTAGTACTGTGATTGTAGACTTCTGGGAACACCAGGTACCATAGTGGGGTGGCTGTGGTTGTCATTGTGCCCATAGGCAAGACACTTCACTCACATTGTCAATAAATAGTCTGGTGTGTGCATGGAATGGTTGATGGTGGTTCCAAGGGGCTGATGGCACATACTGGTTGCCTTGTCTTTGTCAGTGTGACCCAGGGCAGCTGTGGCTTCAGTAATTTATCACTGTTTATGGAGTGGATGAGTAATGACACGTGAAGCCTCTTTGAGTGTCAGAAAAAGCACTTTATAAAACTGATGTATTATTATTATTATTATTCTTATTCATTGTTAATAATATTTATTACATGGTTATTGTGAATACTATCCCAAACTCAAACAATTATAACTTCCTTCCTCAGAAAATGATTGAGCCAGAGGTGCTGACTGAGGTCCCTGCAGAGCTGAAGCGCCTGGCCAAGCAGGTGGTACGGGGCTTCTATGGTGTTGAACACGGCTTAGCCTTGGATGTACTGATCCGAAACCCATGTGTGCGAGAGGAGGACATGCTGGAGCTGCTGAAGTTCGATCGCAAACAACTGCGCTCTGTTCTCAACACCCTGAAGGCAGATAAGTTTGTCAAGTGCCGCATGAGAGTGGAAACTGCCCCGGATGGGAAGACAACTCGACATAACTACTACTTTATAAACTACAGGTACGAGAATCCTTTACTGTATGTTGTGTTTTTTCAGATCTCTGAGTCCTTGATTAATATTGTGTATTTAGTATCAAACTACAACAGATATATCACATATTTTGTAGTTTGAAACACTTTATTTGACTTCCTTTTTCAAACTGCTTAATGTATAGGCCTTGCGCTTGTATTTCATCAAATCTTTTTATTTAAATGTATTGTGAAAGCTCAGATGCTGGACACTACAAAAATACTTCAAGGTATACAGGAGGATTTTCCCAAATTTTAGGAAGGAACCCCCCTCTCCACTCTTTTAACAAAACTCTCTGGTGTTATTTGACGAGCACGTATCACCAAAATGATTGACAATTGGGAGGACCAATAGTCTTTATGATCTACCCGGAAGTAGAAAATCCTCCTATATACCTTTAAGCGTGAAAGAGAGATGGTCTAGCCTCTGGGTTGAGTAGGAAGGGTCACAGCAGCAGAGGTGGAGCCGCTTGGTTCGGACCATTTTCTCTGCTTTGGTCCAAAGTAAAATACTAAATGCTTTATCAGCATTTTTCAGTTCAGTTTTTCAAGTTGGCTTCCTCCAGTGGATTTTGGCCTGATTCGCTTGTTTCGGACCATGAATCCTTTCTGCTCCAGTCTGGACCAGTGCAAAAACATGAACACTGTTCTGCAGCAACATTTCAGGTAGAAAAAAGCAAGAAAAATGTCTTTTGTAAAGCACAAACAACAACTGTTTCAGAGCTACTTAGGACTTTCTGCCGTTCCCAGCGCATTTAAAAGTAAACGTACATGAAAGTAAATTTTATTTATCCACTTTTGTTTACCGTTGCTGTGTTTTAACCTGCCTGGTCAAAGTATGAACTGGTATGTGAGTGATTATCCGTGATGATCATGATCATACATACTGTTGTAGGCTATATTTTTATGGCAACATTTTTGTTTCATAAAAAAACATTGAATAATTGTTTGAATCATGTTATTGACCATATCAGTCTTTGAGCTTAATTTCGCTTTGCACTGTTCTTTTCAATTAATGACTTAACTAAACTAAAACTAATTACATAATCTATAGCCTCAGATTAAAGTTTGCCATCTAAAATTAACAACATCTATGTTTGAATAGATCTAAGAGCCTTACAATTCAGAGAACCGATAGGTCATGTCTTCTTTCTCGTTGGAGCAGAGTTCTGGTGAATGTGGTGAAGTACAAGCTCGACCACATGCGGCGGCGAATTGAGACGGATGAACGCGACTCGACGAACAGAGCGTCTTTCCGCTGCCCCTGCTGCTTCTCCACCTTCACCGACCTCGAGGCCAACCAGCTCTTTGACCCTATGTCAGGTAACTCCTCGACGGAAAATCTTTCCCCAAAAAAGTAATTTTAGACAAATCTAAGTAAACCTTGATTTGCATTGTATGGTATAATGATATTTATTTTGACAGGATCAGTGTACAATAAACATTAGTCAAAGGGGGAGATGAATTGTACCAGGTTATAGCCGGAGCCTACCCCTGTAGTCCCTGAGCAGATTGATGTCACAGTAAAACAAAAGTAGATGGATACATGAGCATACATTACATTATCAGGCCCTCTTTCTGATAATGTAAGTCATGTATGTAAGTAACAAACTAGCTCTTTTTCAGCAGATGGGAAGAGTCCAGGGAATCCCCCTTTCTTTCACACTCTGGAAATGATTTGTGATACGTTGGCCATCTTTTCACAAAATAGCCAATGATCAGACTAATTAGTAGATTGTACATTTGGGTTTTGATCTCAAACAGATCAGATCTCAATGATTCTACAACATGGCCTCATTATTTGAGAGATGAATAAAGGAATAAAGACGACATTAGACAAAATTCACGCTTGGTTGAATAATCCTGTTTTTTATCAGGTTGATTAGCTCAGAATTTGCTGTATTGTTTTTCCCCAGATTGTTGTGTAATACATTATATGTCTCTGGCTCCGGATTTAAACCCATTTAACCGCCGCTTGTTTTGAGCTGTTCTGCATGCAAATTGCTCTCGTTATGAACCTATTAGCGTGATGATGTTTTTGCTTAATGGCTGCAAAAATGTTGACCTGATCTTTCTTCCTGCTGTCACCAGAGGGCGCTCTAATCCAAACCTTGTTCTGTTCTGAGTCCTATAAAGCTATTCCCCAAACAGCTTTAGGGGAAGTTATAAAATATGTCAAATGCCAAGCTGTACAAAAGCATGTTAATATCCAATCCAATAAATGCCAAACTGCTGCATCATGCATAGTTATACTGGATCCACTTTGGTTTCAATCGTAAAAGGAACACAATTTGATTTCCCCATTAATGGTTTTATAATGTTACTAAAAATACCATTTAAACCTTGACGTCAGTGTCTTGCTCTTCCAGTTCTAGTAGTTGATGAGGTCCAAATGATGGGGCTTAGAGACCGAACCAGCTGGATTTCACCAAAGAAACAGGAAACCTTAATGTGAGACTTGTGATTCCTGCTTTCTGATTGGATAATCCGCTTGAGAGCTAACGTATTATATGTTTGCGCTAAACTTTTGTCCATATTTTTTCTAATAGATTGGCTTCAAGTTTTAGAGTTCTATTTTCGTTTCAACTATACAATTTTTGAATAAGAAAAAAAGTTCACAAACCCGGCATATTCTTGTTATCTGAAAGTCTTTTCTACTGGCCTGCATCTTATCATGTTTTTGAGATCAGATAAGAATTTATTGTACCCAAGGGAAATTTGCAGTGGGATACAGTGCAAGTGCAATCATTAAAACTTTAGAAAAGTCAGTAGTTCTTTGAAGTATGTTTAGTTCAAATCCTCATTCATTATAATACATATTGTATCGTGTTATAGAACCATGGACAAATAAAAATAAAACGTTTATGGTTCTTATTCCACATTTAATTTATTTAACCCTCCTATCGTCCTCTGGGTCAATTTGAACCCTTTCGATATTTATAATTCAGAAAATAGTAGTTGAATTGTTATTTTTGCCTTCATATTTCATGACTTTTCCTACTTTGATGGGGGCATTCATTTTATATAACAATGTTTTTTCAATGTGCCTAACACAAATTGTATTCATTGGTGACCCCAAGCTGTTTTAGATGTTAGAACCTGTCTGTCAGTGTGTGTGACCTAACACTCGCACACCTGCAGCTGCAGAGTGACACATTTGGGTTGAAACATTTTGCTCTATTCTCACCAGAACTTTAACAGTGAAAGTGACTTCGAGAAGATTTTCTCGGAGTCAGAGGACTGTGTTGAGGAGGATCCTGATTTTGAGGAATTCTTGTCTGATGAGTGTTGACCCTCCTTGTCCCTCTTATTATTATTATTATCATTATTATTACTAATACTAATATGAATACATAAATATGTTTATGAGAGGAAAGGGAGGGTCACCAACATCTGCATGGTTCATTCTGTGAGTCATGAAGTGCACTAAACCTCAAGGTTTGACCTGGTGGTGGCGCTGCAGGAAATATCCATCATCACCAAAACCAGACTTGTGGACATTAATTTTGAGAAATAAATTTGAGAAGATTTGTACGAAAACTTCAAGATGAATGCATTCTGATTTAAAGGGTTGGCCTAATGGTGGTGCGAGAGGAGAGGTCAACTCACTAATTTTCAAGTAATTTATATATTCAACCAGTAAACAAAGTGCCTGTTACAAAATCTTGTTGAACAATAATCTGTAAATCATTTTCTGGTGGTAAATATCCTTTGGATCAGACTGACCCCAAGGACTACATTTGGTATTATATTTGAGGACTATAGGAGCGTTAAGAAGGCCGCTGAGGTGGGACAAAGGAGTGCTTGGTTTTGTGTAAAGCGACATCCTTAACACAATTGTAAATATTTTATAGGCTCTTTGGCACATTGTGATGTCACATAAACACAACTTTGGAAACAATAAAAAAATGCATTGGCGTTCAAAGTGCACGGTTTGGTTTGGACGGTATGATTTGTAGAGATGAAGATGCAGTAACAAATGCAAATCTTACATCCGGCCCCTTCTAAACTCGTGTGGATATTTATTCTGATGTTTTCTTCTTCCATTTACTTTGTTATTATTCGTCCGATGCAATCCAACTTCTCTCTTAAGTCAAAGTCTCCGTTGTATCCTTTATTTGGCAGCGTTCGCTCTCAGACTCTGAAATATATCTATTGATCTCTGTTGCTAGGATACACTGATGGCTGCTGCCAGAAAGGCTTTTGTCCACACTTGATGACACTTACCTTTTGCCAAATATCCGTCTAACTCATAATAATTTCCGATGCTGCTAATTATAGGCAGCAGTTGATTGAAGAAAGGCAATAACTAGTTGGCCGTGACTTGCCTCTTCCCTGATGGCTTTTCTTTGTAGATGGGATGGATGCAGCAAAGTTAATGGGATGGCTGGAGATGGTACTTTTTTTCTTCTTCACTGGCACAGTTGGGGAAAAGTCAGCGTCTTCTTATTGGTAAAACATTTACCATCAACTTGCCAAATGCCCCACTCATCTCCTGTTTCCATGCATCTCAGCTCGTATCAAATCCTGCTGTAACCGCAGTAATTCAGCACGCGGGAAGAAGCGAGTGATCTCATGGTCTGATCCACACAACCGGAAATATGCACAAGAAATGTTCATGCACCGTGGATATTCAGTAGCACTATGCATCATTTTGAACTCATTACATTTGCTTATGGTTAAAACTTACCTTTATTCATTCAGTATCATGTTTACAATTCTGTTACACACACACACATTATCTTTTTTATCCCTTATTTACATTCATACAACAAAACATTTAGAGAGATACAGGATTTTTTGTAAAAAATATAAAAATAAATGATGTTTTTTGTGTTATCCAAACATTTTAAAGACAGTATTATATTATTTCTCCATCAAGACATGATCGTGCTATATTAATATCTATGCTCCTATTTGTTAAGTATGTCAACCAAAAACAACAAGAGCATTTGAGTGTATTGTCCAATTTTTACCCTTTTAAAAACAAACATTTGCCATCAAAACTCAATAGCTGTGTTTAAATATTCACATTTAGGCAGTTTGATCCGTGTTCCAGGATTGCATTTGTCATAATTGTAAGAAAAACCTTGCATGTTTCAAGTTGGTAACCTTGCTCTACCCTTCTGCTCTTTGCCAAATCCAGGGTTCTATGGCTCTGTGCTAGTGCTGGACCTCTTCCCACTATTGAAGCTAAAAATCAGCTGACGCACTTGTCCTCACTCGCCCCCTGTGGTTAAAAGAGGAGGGTGTGCGATTTGTTATGCACTTAAAAATTCGCAACTGTGGAAAACATAATTATGTTTCTGAAATCATCCATAGTAAAAGGTCATTGGCGTTATTACAGACTATCATTTCTTGTTTCCCTGGGCAATCAAAGCAAAGCCATTTTCTTAAAAGAATATGAACAGGAGAATAAAACCCTCGAGCTGTGATTTTAGTCCCTTGAGGTCTGCACTTGCTCTGTCTTTGTGAAGTTGTTGGGTGCAAAAACTCATGTAATACTTATATTTTTAATTGTTATCAGAACGTTAAGTTGAGCTGAAGGTTGAATCAAAAGCTTTTGCCAGAAGTAAATCTACAATAAAAGGTTTTCTGGGTTTAACTTTGTGGATAGAATGTAGAACTGAAGCTACTAACTTGTCTCAGCTGAAACATTTTCTGCTTTTACCAGAAACAATGTCATCTTTTGTATTCAATTTTCTTCTTTAGACATTTTCACAGGATTCTTGAATTATTTAACTTATCGATCTGTCTCCTATGTGTGAACCATTCTCCTCATAACTTGATATTTTTTGGGTAAAGATGATTTGAGTGTATTTCGGGAGATTTGTCTAAAAACAAGCAAGTGTCTTTCGCGCAAAAAACATTTTCAATAATTTATGTGAAGCAAAAGAGTCAATGTGTTGCACAACTCTGGTCTGACTATAAGAATTTAATTAGAAAAGGTCAATTCAAGAGTGCATATGCTGCGGCTGTGGCCTGGCTCTGAGAGGATCTGTGCTTCAGTGCAGATCATGATCCCCGGGGCCTAGACACTGGTGGTGGCAACAGGGCAGGATGGAGGTGAGTGTGGAGGTGGGGAGGAGGTGGTTGTGGCTTGAAAAGGCTGTTTGGTGTGCAGTGTCCATCTTTTTAAGCGCTGCCTTGATTGGCGGCTGAAAGGGAGTTGGTGAAGCTGGTGTGGGTCCGGTGCAATGATGCAGGTAGTCGACCAATTTGAACTACCGCTTAAGCTTCATAACTACAATTAACAAGTGTTAGATACATATTCAACATTTTTGCAGTGAATTTTTGGTGAGGTAATCACTCCAAAGTAAAGTAAAAAAAAAAAACACATCAAGAGAGTTTTTGAACCCATCACATCTGCCATGCCCCACTGGCTTCTCACTGCTGTGCTCTTGTAATCACAGATACTTTCCGCTGTACGTTCTGCCAGACGGAGGTAGAGGAGGACGCGTCGGTGTGCCCAGACGCCAGGACGCCCGTGGCCCGCTTCAACGAGCAGATCGAGCCCATCTACGCTTTGCTGCGAGAGACTGAGGACATCAACCTGTCTCATGATTTACTGGAGCCAGAGCCGACGGAGATCCCAGCGCTCAAACAGAGGTAATCCACATGTCATGCCCTTTATTCAAACGTCTTATTATTAAGATCAGTGCAATTTCATGTAAAAGGTCACTTAGTACATACCGCCTTCTTCAAGTAAATAATGTTTTTTATTTGAAAGTGATTGTGTATTTTCCCTGAACAGTGCACAATAATTAACATCAATATTTAGTTGTACATAAGACACCCTTATATCTTATTTATGTATTTTTTTTAAACTGTTTTCAAATGTCTTGTTTATTTGCACACTGATCTTATTGAAACCAAATGTAACATGTACATTTCTCCACTGTGAGATCAAGAAAGTTTTATGTTATCCTGATTAATGCAACAAAGTGAGTTTTCATCCATAGTCCCTCTGCAGGCAAACACATGAATGAAGACATACTGTAAAGACCGGCAGCATGAGGAAATGTTAAGAGTCTAGTGAAAAGTAAATTATTGGATGGGAAATTATTCATTTAATTACATTACAAGTAATGAATAGCACAGCAAAACCCATGTTATCATTTTTCATTTCCATTTTAAAATTGGACTTTGTGAAGCAAAGGATTGATGGTTTTCATCTGATATTTGGAGAGGTTTCTAACCATTGAAATTATTGTCATTGGTTGGAGTGGAGCTGAAAACCTTTTTTGAGGAATACATATAGTCGCATGGTTAAATACTTAAAAGATAAACTTTTATATTGTGTGTATATTTTGTGCTTTTACAAGATCTGATTATTCCATATTGTGTTTCTCAGTCGCGAAAGAGCCGCCGCTGCAGGAAACGCAGGCCCACACCGCGAGGCCTGGGCGTCCAAAGGCTCGTCCTACGCAGACTTGTACTCTCAGAACGTGGAGATCAGTATGGACAAGCCGGACGAGCAGCGCCAGGCCAACGAGGGCAAGGCCCCCAAAGAAAGACCCATCTGGCTCACACAGAGCACAGTGCAGGGGGCCGACGCCGAGCCAGACCTCATCAAGAGCCGTGAGTGCATCCACCAACTTCTACACTTCTAAACTAAGGACAGCCATAGAAATCCTCACAATCCACTACATCAACTAGAATTCACAACACGGCACTATATCATCAAGCAATCCAAAAGTTATTTGTATAGCACAATTTGTGTTCAAAGAGATTCACAACAGCTCAAAATGCATAAAAAATAGATTAAAAACATACATAAGCACAACATACAACCCTTTCTTTCTAAATAGTGCAGTATCAAAATGTTGGGCTTAAAAACCTTATTAAAATGGGAGTTTCATACATGGTCAGGGTAGAGGCCTGTTCACAACCTCAGAAAGACTGTTCCATGTTTGACGGTTGACATGCTCCCCATGTTTAGTCCTGACTCTGGGATCAGCAGGAGGCCAACCCTGTGCTCCTCAGAGTCCCAGTCGCTTCATATGGGACTCGCATGTCACTGTAAAGTCTATTTTCTGACCTGAGAACTGGATTCATGTGGTCGTACCTTCAGGTTTTAGTCAGGACTCAGGCTGCAGCGTTTTGAATAATGCTAGAGCTGCAGTAATTAACATTTAAATATTAATGACAAAATCAGTTTCTAGTATAACCAGAGCAGTACGAAACAAGCGCTGCAGTTAGTTCCATGCGCTGGCTGCTTCAGCTTCATACGGCATTCTTTAATGTTTTTAGTCTCAGTTTTATAGATACAACAAGATTATAGTTATAACGCTGTCTTTGTAGATGGCCAGTTGGATTTCAGGCAATATTTACTTACTATTTTTACTGCCTTTTCTATCAAACTCAGATCTCACCAAAAGGGGACCAGAAAAGATGTATTTTTTTTCTAAATGCAGAAGTAGTTCGTGTCTAACCACTTTTTATAAGGCGTCTAAACCTACAGGACGTCCCAACCTGTAAGAATAGCAATGCCATCGTTTTCACCTCAAACTTGGGGATATAAAGCATTCTTCTCACACTTCTGACCAAATCCACATAATTTAACTGTCTTGTTCCTGCGCCACTAAAAAGTATCCTTCATTCATGTGGGCCACAAAAGTGATCAGACGACGCCTTTCTCAGGGTGTTATTTCTTCATCCAAGGGCATCTGCAATCAGCCTCCACGTTGTCTGAACCATCATTTAGAATAATCAGAGGCTTGATTAGTGGCTGTAGAGAGGATTATTAATAAAAGCTTTAGTTTGTAAAATGTCTCACTAAATATTCAGTTCCTGATGACTGAGTGCTGTTTGAAGTTCCCGAATCACCTGCTCCAAGGGTTACAGCCAAGTTACGTTCCATATCTGCACATTATTCTTTCTTTTTTAAATGCAGTGATTACAGAGACTGCGTTTCTTTTTTTTTTCTTTTTTTTTACAACCACCAAACATTTCAGAAAACTTAAGTGGGAGTGTAAATGGGACAATGAACAAACCCTGGATTCTGTCTGAGCCCAAGGTTGTTTTGTGAAGATATGGAACTTCTTGGCGGAGGTCTGCACTCTACAAATGCTTTTCTAGTCATGAATTAAATGGGGATAATCTAAGTTCAAAATGACTTGACTAGAAAAAGCACTCCTAGAGCCTAAAGGCGCCAATCAAATTCTTAAAAACAAACCCTGTACCCAGACATTGATTAAGATCACCTCCAAAACGTTTCTTTAAAATATTGTCCAAATCCCATTCATTTTCTGAGTTGGACTGTGAGCAACATGACTTTACATCCTGAGACCTGTTCAGTTCTTTTAGAAGCCCAGTCGTTTAAAGTGTTCCCACAGGGTTATGCTGCGGCGAGAGACCATCAAAGTAGTCACAGGGACTCATGCTGGTCCAAACAGGAAGATCAGGACCCTCAAAAACAACCAAAACATGAGCTAAACCAGGGCTAAACCAGGGCCTAACCAGGGCCTAACCAGGGCCTAACCAGGGCCGAACCAGGGCCGAACCAGGGCCGAACCAGGGCCGAACCAGGGCCGAACCAGGGCCGAACCAGGGCCGAACCAGGACTGACAATGGTTGGACACGGTGCTTTTGAACATATGTCTTCACCCTGAGTTGACATTTTACTGTGACTGTAACCAAGTGCAGCTAACGATACGGAAATAACTTGCTAGCATCAAAGCCCGCCCACCACTTCCGCCGGGCAGTAGGACAGATTGTCTAAACTCATGCGGCTGATATTTAGTGCACGTCCGTACATCCAGAAGGCTCTTGATCTCAGGTTATTATTATAGATCCATAGGTTTAATGCACAATGGGACTTTTAAAATGATGTGTGGTCGATTAGCCTGCTGTATAATCCTATATCAAACTGACTCCATTATGAACAAAGATGTTGGTTTTCCAGGTGCAGAGGCCGCTCCGGGATCTCAGGACGCCGCCGCCACAGAACAGACCAACGAGAACGAAGAGGTCATGCGCGCCCTCCTCATCCACGAGAAGCGGAACGTGGCCGGGGCCGCGTCCACCGCCACCACCACCTCTGCCGCCGCCGCCACCAGGGGGCTCACCTCAGCTACCGCCAACGCCAGCGACTCCGAGAGCGACACGAGCGAATCGGACGACGACGCTCCCAAAGCCCCAAAAGCCCCGCCCGCCGCGCCCCAGCACCACATGTCGGAGGATGACGACGATGACTTCGAGGAGGTGGGAGAGGAGCACACGGTGATGGTCGGGGGGCGGCCACATTCCTACAGCGAAGTGAGCCAGCGGCCAGAGCTGGTGGAGCAGATGTCGGCGCAGGAGAAGGAGGCCTATATTGAAATGGGTCAAAACCTGTTCCAGGACATGTACTACTGAGCTCGCCATCAGGGCAGAATTAAATCCACCAGCCCTCACAAAAATCCGTCTGTCTGTTTCAAATGTCTGCAGTGACTCGTGAACCTGTACAGAGGCAAACAGAGCTCACTCCTTCAAAAGAGCTCTGCACCTGGAGATCCGGGCACATTCACACTGGTCACTGTTCAGTCCCAAGTGAAGCAGAGTTCCCTTTAAGTCTGGGCCGTCAAATCGGGTCCAGAAAGGGCTGGTGTGGCTGCAGGTTTTAGTCCTAACCCCGAGCAGGAGCACAGCAGACTCCACCCAATTCCTCAAAGGATCAGGTTAACCCTGGACTCACCTGGGGAACTGGGTGCAGTCTGCTGTGCTCCTGCTCGAGTTGGAATAAAAAACCCGCAGCCACACGGCCCTTTACGGAACCGGTTTGGACACTACTGCTTTATGTGAACCATGTGGAACTACTGGAAGAGTGTACACTTGTTTGCTGGTTTCACATCTCCACAAAGGAAACAGTTTTGTCCCAATTTTCTTTCACCTAAACAGAAATCTGGTTCACTTTGGACTGAAGTGTAAACAGGCCCTTAAACTGGTTCACAAACATCCTTCACAGATCTGTTTCAAAAGACGCAAAGTGACTATTATTCCTTCGTCACGACAGTTTAAACATCTCGGCTTATCGTTACAAAAATTATGGAAGGATCGATATATTTTTGTGCACATTTTAGAAGTTCAGAATTATGGCAAAATATTAATTCTTTGGTTTATTCTCTCGCCACAGGACTTTAATGAAATGCAGAAAAAAGCATTGTGTTCCAAGTATTATTCCACATCAACATTTGTTATCTAGAAGCCTTGACTGGTGGACTCATATTCATTTACTTGGTTGCTTTTGACGTTTCCACAAATGAGGCATTTTTGAACCAGAATCGGTCCCGTTTGTGAGCCACACCAGCAAGTGTGAATGTGCCTGTCAGTTATGGTGGCTTATAGTAAATGCTGTATAAATTCAGCCTTTACAAATGACTAGTTACAAGTATACAAATACAATCCAGGTCATGTTTCTCCCATGGATTTTCTCTGTGTTGTAGAAAAACAGTATTCCATTTAGTATTTCTTTCATCAAAAACCAAAGGGAGCTGCTTTTGTGCCAACAGTTTGCATTGAGTCCTTAGTTACAGCTCAATTTGTTCATTCTGGGACATTTAAGACCGCTGCCAAAATGGTCTGTTTTTACTGTTTACTCAAAAGAAGATGGATGTATTTGTTTTCAAAATGTTTGCTATACTTTCTGTACAAAAAAAATAAAACACAAAAATACATGCTCTTGAGTCTCATTGAATACTTTTAAGTTGAAGGTCTGTGTCAACTCTCAAATGTTATGAGTTTGGAATAGTTCAAGTGGTGGTGGTTTTTAGGACTGCACCAATTATGGAGTGAGTGTCTTTGGTCTAGTTGTCGGTCAGAAGCATCAGTTTAATGTTGTGAGAAAAAAAGAAAACCGCTGAATTCAAGTGTGTTTATATTTTTGCAGTAAATCTTTTAGTTCTAAGTTTTAGGTTAGAACTATAAACATTTTCTGGAAAGTGCTGGAATTGTGTACTGATGTTATTGCTTCATATTTTTCCAATGGAACTCACTTTTTCAACATATCAGATATCAAAACTAGCACCGCAAATTTGCAGTTTTGGTCAGAAATATCACAATTGTGGGTATTACTATGTCAAATTTTGAAGTCTGATTAATTGACGGCCTAATTACATATTCCCCAAAAATTATATCCATCTAAATGTGTATATTTGGCTTTATAATGGCAACCTATGGGTTTGTTGTATATACTGTATGAGTAAATCCACCCACAATCAAGCAGATTCAATCCACTTATTTCCCATCACCTCACTCAAACTGCTTCAAAGACCACGCATACTTGAGGCATCGCTATGGTTACGTGCAACACTCAGACCTTGACCACTGTCACTTAAAAGCACTCGTCTTGGACTAATGCGCGTTTCAAGGAATGCCTGCAATCTGTCAATGGCACTTGTCAAACATGTTTTCAAAACCACGTACCTCCGCCTTCCAAAGTAAGTGCACAAATATGTCTTTCTGTTAAACCAACAATGGCTTAGTTTGAACAACTTACACTTCATAAAAAGCTGCAGATTTAACTTTCTAACAAAAGATAAATAAAGTATATCCAACTTCATGAACAAATATGAAACGGTCAAGTAAAGACGTTGATTTTTTGAGGTATTATTTGTTGAGGTATATTGTCGTTTTCATTCTAAAAACTATGGTCCTAAACTTGCACATTAAGATTTAAGATTTTTGTCCCACATGTAGGGATATTTCAATGTCATCGTTGCGCACATTACAGAATAAAAAGTAGAAAATACGACTCAGATTGCACACATCAAACAGAAAGTATTTGAAGATATTAGATAATAAATTAAAATAGTAAGTAACAAGAAAATAAAATAGAATAAAATAAAACTGTAGCTACGATTGCACTTGTTTCAGAGTTGTTTATGTGTTTATTGTACTTTAGCAGCGGAGAATATGAGCAGAATAAACAATAGTAGCAATAGCAGCAGGTAAAGTGACGAGTGAATGACAGAAATATCAAAGGTAAATTTGCACTTTTAATTAATCCCCGCAGGGAAATTCATCCTCTGCATTTGACCCATCGTGACGCTGCAGCGCCCGGGAACCCATCTCCAGATGTTGGTGCTCGGCTTGGTCATGACTACCAGAGCTGGAGGATTCTACCGAGTGCATGTTTTTAGTGGTAGGGGAAACCGGAGCACCCGGAGGAAACCTATGGGGAGAACATGCAAACTCCGTTCAGAAAGTGGAGCTTCCCTGTTCCAACTGGGATTCTCCCCCATTATTACATATCCATTCAGATGAGTGGATATGTAATAATGTACGTATCTCCATATTTCACGATATATGGTCAGATTTCAGTCGGAATTGTATCTCCTGTCTACATATGACAGGCTAAAACAAAAAAACAGGCATGCATTTCCTGTGGGTTTGGGTTGCCAGGTGAAATGTCACTCTCCTGGCGGGGGTGAGCATCGGCGGGACAGCTCTGGGGTGAACCTAGAGCTCATGTGTCCTCTTTTAAGTGAGAGGATGGACACCTGTCGGGAGCAGTCTCCAAAGGTCAGGAGCGAGGGAGGACCTAGCATCATTAAAACGGCCTCCACCCTCCGGACGACTCAATTAAACACCTCTCTCCTACTGAGCCATTGATTTGCTGAGGCCTGAGCAGCACCCAGTGGGAGAGCAGTGAAGTTGTGCAAAACCATGAAACAGCTAGCTTGTTAACGTAGACGTACAGCGCTTTTTGTCTCTTATATAATCTGTGAAATCTTTGGATCGTTATCAGTAGTGAGGCTTGTGCTTCGCAGCTAGAAGAGGCTGGGTTCAATTCCACTTCCAGGCATTTCTGTGTGGAGTTTACATGCTCTCACCGTGTCTGTATAGGTTTCCTCCAGGTGCTTCGGTTTCCCTATCGTTAAAGAAAATGTATGTCCTCCCAAGCCCACTCCCACCTCGTCCCGAGAGCGGGTCAGGATTCAATTCAATTCGATTCAATGTATTCTTGTATAACCCTAAATCACAACACTCGTTATTTCGGAAGACTTATAAAAACTGATGAATTGGCAAACATAGATCACAGAATAAAACAGCTCAAGCACAATATATGCAATGCTGAAAAACAGACTTTGGAACACAAAAGGCAGATTAAATTTAATTCGACTTTATTATAGAGCACTTTAAAAACAGATGACCAATGTCCATAAATGTTGTTGAATGTTGAGTGTCCTAGTTCATCACCAGGACAACCTTGGAAAAGATATTCTGCAATCTAAGGGAAGTTCATAGCTAAAGAAAAGTCAATAAACAAATAGAATATCTTTTTGACAGGTACATTGCACAAAAAAATGTAATGTTCAAACCGGACACAGCTACTGGCTTATTTTCATCCGTCGTTCCTGTGCAGAGGCAAGTGACAACAGGTTTACAGAGAGCAATGAATGAATAAATAGTATGGTCTAGTGTGGTAAATAATGTGGCTTACTGGGTTTCCTCCTCGCACAACCAGTAATAGTGATATGGAAATAATCAGACTCTGCTTAGATGTAAAAAAGTAGGTTTAATATATAAAACAGAATAAAAGCAAATGACAGGCTGAAGCTTCATATAGCCTGGGTCTCCTGCAACGATGGCAGCTTTGGAAAAAGACCCAGAATAGAGAACTGCTGTGGGTTAAATACTAACTGTTACCTTGACCATATATGTCCATCTGACGTATATGATCCTAGACTCTTAAAATAAAAAAGCAAGCCTGCTTCTCTATGGCCTGGTCAGCATTCCTGTTGGATGTGTTTTTGCCTAGCTGTGGCCCCTCACCACCAAGGTCTGCTTCTTGACGGCATGCAGATATTTCTCAATGCAAAAACACCTCCAGCTTCTCAATGCATAAATACATTTGAATATATGTGTAATTATTAGAAATAAAACATCAGATACAACACTAGTTAGCATTTAAAATACAGATGAATATAGAGCCTTAATCTTGCATCTGTTTTCCTCTTCCCCAAATACTGAACATGCAGATTAATATAAGGAATAGTAGTTTATCAGAGTTGATTTGAGCAGTTTTACAATGTATTTTTACAGGGACACATAAAGTCGAGAACAAAGCTCAAAAGGAGAAAGCCGAAGCCAGAAGCTTATATGTGTCTTGCCCATGTTTAAACTACATTCAAGCAACTGCAAACATATTCAGATTATCACATGACATTCCAAATTTTTACCATCATTATCTTATATTGTAAAACAGCAGTAATTATTAATGTATGTTCCATATTTCACAGCAAAAATAAATACGAGTTTGTCACTCCCTTCTTATCATCCCACTGCATGTTTCTTTTTTAATAATAATACTATGACGTGTGAGGCATTCTTTCATAAAACTTTCAAATTCATATATCACATTGCTGTACAGTTAA